ATACTAGAAAGATCTAGATTGTATATATTCTATAGATAAAAAGAAAAAAGTAATTTACTAGTACTAGAGTATTAAAATATAGTATAAATGCTAGTAAACTAAAACTAATCCTATAATTTTCTAACTATCTCTATAGAAAAAGTCTTCTTTAATCATTAGACTGGTAGCTTTTTTATTCTCTGATTATTAGTATATATATGAGTTATATCCCAGATAATATTATCTAGAAAGATAGCTATAGCTAATAATTAAAGTAAAAGTTAATATTATTAAATAAAAGATAAAGAAACTTAAAGTTATTTCTAGTCCAGATAGTTAGAATAAAATAACTAGTAATAAACTTATAGTATATTACTATATTTTTACAATAAATCATTATTAAGTCTTTATCATCTTATTATAACTTATAGATATAGTTTTCCTTATTATGATAGATATCTAGTATTCTATTTAACACACCTTTTTAATATCTATAAACCTATACACTAAAGTAGCTATAGTATAGTCTACTATAGAATATAATAATAGATTCTAAACTTCTTGACCTTTCTTAATTAAAAGAAGATTAATCTATTTAGGAAGTATAGTAAGATTAGTATTATTTTCGAGTATTCTTATAGTTATCTAAATTATATTCAGTTTACATACTAATATAGTAGAAAAAAATCAAATCTAGAATAGATTTAGAAAAAAGAATATACTAATAATTTAACTTTCTAGTACTATATTAGTAGTATTTTACTAATAATAATATATCAAAAATATAGCTGAGAATAAAAGTCTCTCTTTTAGAAGAGTTATAATTCTTTATTAAACTATAAAGATACTTTATATATTATAAAAATTAGTAATAAAAGAATAAACAATCAGAAGATAAAGAGTAGACTATCTAGATATTCTAATTTGTTAGTTAAACTCTAGTAATATATTAGTATTTAAGATAATACTAAGAATTTAAAATATATATCTATATCTTATACTAGTAGGAACAAAGACTATTAGATAAGTAAATAATACTAAAATATATAAAAAATAAAAATTTAATATAATTATAATAATCATATTGGAAAAAAGATTTAAATACAACTATAATATTAATATTCTATGTAGAAAAATATTATATCTTAAAGTACACTAGTATTAAAGCACAATAGGTATCACTAATCTTGATTTACTTAGAATTATATCTATTATTACTATCTTTATAAAATAGACTAGTCTACTTTAGAACAGTATTATTATACTACTATAGTACTACTAGAAATAGTTATATAAAAGAAAAAGTCTAATCATTATAGATAACTTTTATAGTCTATTATTATACTTTTAATCTATCTATATATTATGCGTATAATCATTATAATATTGATAATTTAAAATCTTTTATATATTTAATCCAGAGTCTTATAATTTCTTCTAAGAGATTAGATTAGTCTTAAGACTAGAAACAACTACTATTCTATATCTAATTCATCGACTTTATTCTTAATAAATATATTAAAGAAGATATTCAATATCTCTATTAAAAAGTACTGTTAATAAAAATAAGAATAAATAACGTAATCGGTAAGCGAGTGGCCCATGTAAGCGGGTGGCCCAACACGCTAAGTATTCCAGTCTATATACAATTTTGAAGCTAAAAATCAATGTATTTATACTATTTAAATCGTATTTTCTTGGTATTTTCCTCTTAAAGGACATCTTGTTTATCTATAGCTGATTTTATTATAATCAGAATAGTAAGGTGGCGCGCGGCAGCAAGGTAGTTCTTTACTATTTCTAAAATCAGCTGATTAACTTTTAAGAGCTTTATTTTTCTTATAAACTTACTGGAATGTCTAAATAGCTTTATAAATAGTAGTACTGTTAAGGCCAGCTATTTAGTAATAACTCTGTTTTTTCTTATCTTTTTAATAGTCCTCTATAGCTTATAAATTATGATTTTCCTACTCAAGTAAGACTACTCTGTTAAATATAAGTTTATAGCTCTTAATAATATATAATAACATATCTCTTATTAGTTCTGGGGGACTTTATATATATTTATAGAATATTATCTTAATTATAAATTTATATTTCTTTAATTACCTTATGTTCTTAGGTATTCTTAGTATAGTAGAGGTAGTAGTTTAACTTCCCATAGGGGAGTTTTCTTATAGATAGATTTCCAACTTCCTAAGCACCTTGTCTGGCTGAAAAGGAACTAATCTAGATACCAAAAAGGCATTTTATATAGATAATACTTTGAAGGCAAGTTCGCGAGCTTATAGATATATATCTAGGAATTCAATCTTATTACTATAGTAAATATCTTAGTAAATCAGTTTCTCAATTAGACTATTATATACTCTTTTTAAAGGTGCGAAGTAAGCAATATCTAGAGGCTGATAGAGATATAAGAAGTAAGAAGATATATAGATAGAAATAATATTATTCTGACTGTAGATTTTATTAAAATAAGGTATTAAATAAGAATAATATCTATTAAGAATTAAGAGACTATATCTTCTGACTTACTTCTTCTTAATAAGAAGAACAAAATAGTATTTAAGCTAGTATAAACTGATTTTATTACTTATCTAACTATTTAGCAAGATATTGATTCTCTAAGAATAAGATATATTTCTCTGATACTATGCCTCTATATACACCTTACCTTTGATAATAATATATAGAGATAAGGCCCAGTCGAAGATATTAATATACTTAATTAATATTATCTACTCATAATCTCTAGATTATATAAGGGACGGCTTATTCTTACAGCTAGATCTTATGATTACACGCATAGTAGTTACCAAGCCTATAGTAAAGTCTGTTTCATTAAAGTTCTAGATATTCTTATTAGTAATTCTATACTTTAATATAACAGCTTAAATATAATTAAACCAGTCCTTAATAATTACTAGATTCTTACAGAGAGCTTATTTATAGTAATAATAGTAAGAGAAACACGACTTTGAGAAAATTATAGTATTTAATAAAGTTATATATCTATTTCTCTTCTACTAAGACTTTATTTAAGATCTTCCCAGTATTACTGTGTTTCCAGATCAGAATAGATGCTATTTTATAAATTAGATAGGATCTAGAGAAAAGTCTTTACTTATCTAAAAATATAATCTACTATTTTAATAACTCCTCTTTTATAATATTTAATTTACATAAATTAGTATATATATTAGTTTATGATTTAACTCTGTTAAGATATCTGTGAAGAGTTATCTTTAGAATACTAAAAACTTCAGCTATTTTAGTTGTAGATAGAATTCAACTATTGTAAAAAGTTTTAATAGCTAATTCTATATAGTCCTCTTAATTTATAGCTTTTTTTAGTAATTAAGGTATTTTTGGTGGTGATAATAAATATTTAAATGATTAATGTTGACGTGTTTTAAGGAATGCTTGGCGTGTTGGGCCACCCGCTTACATGGGCCACTCGCTTACTGATTACGTTATAACATTTGAAAAATAATAAGCTTATAATAATATATTGCTATTAAACTAGTATATAAGTTAATTAGATCATCTTATTAGAAATTAAAAGATTTAGTAAACTACTTCTATTATAAATATTAATAATGAAGATATCTAGATATTAGAATAATTAATTTAGGTTAACTCTAGGTAAGATAATAGTCTAAATATAATAATAAAAAATAAGATATAGATTATAGGAATATGTAAAGAAAAAAATATCATGGAATAAATAATTGGATATAAATAATATATTATAAATTTAATTAATAATACTATAGATATAAATTTATTATAGATAAAATTGAAAAATTTATAAGATATCTATTTATTTTATTAAGTATATAATAAGAATAAAGTTCAATAATATCTTGTAATCTATAAAAGATAGACAAAGAAGATAGAAAAATAAGTAACTAATAGAATTATAGTATAACTAATCAAGAATAATAATTTTAGAACATTTAAACTAATAAGAATAAAAGAATAAAAAATATAAAATATTAAAAGATAAAGATAATGTGATAAATCGCTGTATGCGAGAAGTGGTCATGAGGAAGTTGTTCATTCTATGGAGGGCCTGGGAGGCCGGAAGGTTATATCCCACAGCATCGATCCAGGCGATATAGGAAGGAACAGAGGCCCTAATACGCCAGGAAGGCACAGAGGCCTCAATACGCCTAGCTGCGGAGGCGGCGGTCACAGATAATAAAGAGTAATCAAAAGTTACTAGATATAATTATAAAAATGAATATAGTATCTAGAATTCAGATTATACTATTACATATTAGAGTTATTAGTAGAGAGATATATTCTATATTACTATAAGATAATTGATTATAAAAATCCTAAGATAAAATAAACTAATTAAAATCCTACTCTAAAATAGAATATCATTGTAAAACTGACTTATTGTCTTCCACTATTACAAGTTGGGTTGAGTGGGTCGGGTAGGTGCTCTGGGTTTGCACTGTGACATTTTAAGGTAATTTTCTCCTATATTCTAGAAAGAAATCAGTCTCAAACTCTTATATATCTTATACTTATCCCATATCTATACTTTTTATTTTAAAAATTCTACTCTCATTAAATTAATTCTGATCATTCTTACTGTAGATTACAGTCTAGACTATAATATATTAACTATTATCTTTTTCATATAGTTAGATATAATCCTTTTTCTATTTTCTATATTAGAAGTCAGGATAGAATATTTATTACTTTTACTTTTTAGAATTAAGTTTAACTAAGTACTTATCTAACTATATACCAGTGCAATACACATCACTGTTGTTTATGGGAGCAATCATGTAAGTTACACATACCTTGTGCTTAACAAAACTTTCTTTAGTGCTTTTGTCTGATCCTTAATCCCTTTTATGCACGGCGCGTCTCTGGCCCTATTCTGGCGCACAAGCTTTTCGCAGGGCGCAACTCGCACGTCTTCCTCAACTCCCAGCTTCCAACCCCTCATCAGCATATACTGGACTGCCCGATTATCTGCAGCTTCTGCATATAGAAGTATGGCCAATGTCAATTTTCCGAGGGACCCCAATACCCTTAGCAACTACCATAATTGGCGGTGCACCCATATCACAGCTAATTTTGACGTCCTTTTTCACGAGAAAAAGCTCGTGGGCAGCGTGACGCAGACATTCCGGTCAGCCACCAATGGCGAGTCGCAGGAGATCCTCTTGGACTCAAATCATGTGGATATTCGCAGCGTCAACCTCAATGGCAGGCCTTTGTATTGGGAGCTTCTCCCACCCTCCGAACCATACGGCAGAGCATTGAAGATTAAGCTTGACCGGTGTGTGAAGGAGAATGAAACAATCGATATCGAGGTGTGCTTCATCAGAGAGTAAAATCGGATTTGGCCTAACATGAGGGACAATTTTAGATCACTCTTCAGACCACCGAGAAATGCACCGCCCTTCAGTGGCTGACCCCGGCCCAAACATCTAACAAGAGGCATCCGTATATGTGTGAGTTAGCACATTTTTCTCCGCTAGTCTTTTCGTCTTAGGGGCGAGGTCCACTCTGAGTGACACCTGATCTGCTAACTCACTCGATATACTTGCTCTCTGCAACAGTCTCTCAATGCCAGGCGATTCATGCTCGGTCTATATTCCCATGCCAAGATACACCCGATGTCAAGTCAACGATTGATTTTAACATCTCGTCACCACTACCCGTGATTGCGAGTGGTCTGCCCGTCCGCAACTCGTTAGAGACGCCTCTACCCAGTGCGATGACATTATATCGATTTCACCAGCGGGTGCCCATCCCAAGCTACCTTTTCGCTCTGGCCAGCGGGTAAGCCTACCGAAGTCGGTATGAATCAGACCTGATGAATGGAATGCACTAAGTCTATTATTCTTAGAGACATCACCGAGGCAGTGATTGGGCCACGAAGTGTTGTCGCTACCAGCCCCGACAAGCTCGGCGAATGCCAGTGGGAACTTGAAGCCGATACGGAGAAATTCATCGAGGCAATTGAGGTGAGCTTGCAGCTCAATACCGGGGTGCTTTTTAAATCTAACATCGACATAGGAAATTGTCTACCCATATGCTTGGGGCAAGTACAATGTTTTGATTCTTCCACCAAGTTTCCCTTATGGAGGAATGGAGAATCCGATTTTCACCTTTGCCACACCCAGTATTATCTCCAAGGTATAGCGTCGAAGATGGATCTCTAGCCAGGTGTTCGTCAGCGCTAACGATAACAATTAGGACAGAGAAAATATTGATGTCATTGCCCATGAGCTCGCGCACAGCTGGAGTGGTAATCTTGTGACCAATGCTTCATGGGAACATTTCTGGCTTAACGAGGGTTGGACCACTTACCTGGAAAGAAGGGTAGGTCTATCTCTTCACCATGTTTGCCTCCAGTCGGCAAGACGCTAATCATAGATGTAGATACTTGCTGCGGTGTAAGTTCTCAGAACTTGATGCACTAGTCATGCTAATCTCAACAATCCTGTAGTCATGGCGAATCGTATCGACACTTCTCGGCGCTTATAGGGTGGAAAGCGCTTACAGATTCAGTTGAGCATTTCGGACATGACCATGAATTTACCAAACTCGTCACGGATCTCAAAGGCAAAGATCCCGACGATGCGTTCTCTAGTATTCCATATGAGAAGGGATTTAACTTCCTTTTCCATCTGGAGAATCTAGTGGGCAAGCATAAATTCGACCAGTTCATCCCTCATGTATTTGCTTCACTCCCCAACAGTGAATTCATTTGCTAACTCTGGCTTCTCTCAATACAGTACTTCACACAGTTCAAGGAGAAATCTCTAGATTCATACGAATTCAAAGCGACGATACTAGAGTTTTTTCAGTCCGACATGGAAGCCTCCAAGCTTCTGAATGAGCTTGATTGGGATAGATGGTTTTACGCGCCAGGCTTACCACCCAAGCCGGACTTCGATACCTCGCTTGTCGACGTTGTCTATAGCCTATCGAGGAAGTGGAAGGCCATGCCCGGCTCTCCTTTCAAACCCGACTCTAGTGACATCAAGGACCTGACGGCCAATCAAATCATAGTATTTTTAGAGCAAGTCCTTCTCTTTGAGGAACCACTCACTCCGGAATTGTCGAGGCTTATGGGGGAAGTATATGGTCTTGCAAGGAGCGAGAATATAGAAGTTGCCAACCTGTATTTCCAAGTTGGTCTGAAGGCCGGTGACAACGGTGTTATTGAACCAACAACGCAGCTGCTTGGCAGGATTGGTAGGATGAAATTCGTGAGACCTCTGTATGCAGGAACTTAATCACCGGCCTAGAGATCCAAAGCTGATATTTTTGTATAGGTATCGGAGCTTGCAGAAGGTCAATCGCCCAGTCGCTGTCGAAACTTTCGAGCAAAATAAGGCCTTCTATCATCCTATTTGCCGTGCCATGGTCGAAAAGGATCTATTCGGTAAGAAAGATGCATGAAGCACTCACCGTCTCGCTCTTATCACATTATGGCATCTCGTGTCACCTGCGAGAAATTGGTTATGTGGCTCGTATTTTGCCTCTCAAATCCTCTCCAATCTTGAGAGTATATATTGCAACCTGGTTTACATTGGGAGGGTTCACGACCTGCATCTACATCTAATGAGGGTAAGATCTATCAGTGGACGCATTGCACACAGACTACCACCAGTTGAAGTAAGAAGTTCGGGCTAGTGATGGTGAAGGATGCAAGAGGAAAATACATTTTGCATTTTTATTCCTTGGAAAACAGCCTCAACAAACCCATTTTTATCCGTAGACCAGTTTCTTCTCTGCCTGAGAGACTGAGAAGATACTAGGCCGCCCTCCATCATTGCGCCCTAATCGAAGTGCTAAATCTGCCTCATTGACATGAGAAAGATCATGCAGGACCCGTCGCATATATGCAACAACAAGGGCAACCTTAGTCCAGTCCATGTCTTCGCCGTCGGGTGCAGTATGACTGGCTTTCCATAAGTTCCTCCAAATCGCAGCTCCAAGTACAGCATCGCCTTTAATGACACCCTCATCGTAAGCAGCCAACGCACCACGCCACTGGATAAATAGGTCCTTGAGAAATTTATTTCGGATAGCACGGCTTGTCAAGCCATGAAGTACATCCATGCGATGCTCGGCGTCGTGCGAGAAATGGTCAATCAAATGCTGTGAGTAAGTCTGGAGGCTTTCGGGCGATGGCAGAGCACGTAGCCGGGCTGTCAGTAAGTACATGTGCAGGAAAGTGACTTGCGACCATGTTGAGAATGTAGGCAAGAGCCCCAATTCTAAAGAAAAACCCAGTTGTCAACATATAATGGGGACATGCAGTCTGCCTAGCATGAAAAAGGTGCGAACCTTTATACCACCATCCTTGGCCTACACCAAGATCCTCTCCAGCATCGGTCTTGGGAACTTGTCCTCCCTTCTTATCCAACTGCGGTATGGTGTAGTCTGCTTGACTAGAACAGACCTCGAAAAGCTTCTGAGTCAGACCATATGCAACATATGTCTCTGCAGATGTGCCAGGGCGTGAGGCGATCGCTCGAGCTAGCTGTGATGAAGCCCGAGCACTTCGCAAGTGAATGAATCTGGTCTCTTGACGCTGTTGACTGGCATAGCCCCATGTCGAGACTGAATAGCTCTGCGTGTGCCCTTGCTTAACATGAATTGCACAGCAAATAGAACGACAAGAAACTAGACTTGGTATCAATAGTCCTATGGGAGGCAAAACCTGAAAAATCCGAAATCAGTCGGATATAACCCGAGCAGTTTCAAGCAGATCGCAAGTGTACCTTGAGCTTCGGAGAGTGTGAAAGACATCGGTATTGTTTCAATACAGATCTGATTGCATCTGATGGCATTTTGTAAGTCATCATGTTATGTATTTTGCGGCCAACTCTTGTCCCACACACGATGGGACCGGATTTTGCTACTCGAATAGAGCTCATTGTCATCAAAGCTTCTCCCAGGGTTTGCATAATTTGCATTGCTAACTTCGCTTCGCACTGACCAACAAAAACATGATTCGTGAGCCCGGTATCTTTAGCCTCCAGAACCAAATTCTCTGAGACGTGATAGGCGACATGAATTAATTACCTTGGGCTAATTACAAATACTCTTAAAGCTATAATACAGTCTCCTTCATGCTAGAATTATCGGAAAATGTTGTGTGGCTGAAGGTATGGCCATTGGCTCTTTGCTAAGGGGAAAAACCTACAAGTGCCTTGTCTGCGGGTGCCTCCCTCAGCCAAAGGCCCTTTGGGCGGCTACATGAGACTTGGGAAAGAAATACCGGGGTGGTGGTAGGTGTTCTTAGATCCAGTAGCTAAGCTGTAGACTACTATATAATTTATATTAGGGGCTATAGAGGGAAGATAAAACCCTGATTTCTCTACTCTATCAGAAAGTAGTTACTAACTACTAGAACTAACTTAGAAATTATACTACTATTATTAGGATACTAATGAGAATCTAGAAACTATCTTCTAAAGTAACTAATCATTATTATTACCAATGATAGATTAGTAGTGGTCAAACGGATTTCATAATGTGGTTAATTATCAGAACTAGCAAGGTGACGGAACTACAAGATATCCGCCAAAAGCAGTGACAAGGGACAGAATTGCCTGCTATTGTACTAGACCAATACCAGGATATCACAATATAGTAATTCTACTATATCTACTAGTATTTATAATCTTGACACTCTTATTGAATTATATATAGAGTGGCTTGACCTGACTGTTATACCTTAAATCTAATCTGACCATAATCATATAGTCAGATTAAGGTTTAAAAAATAATGTAACTATAGAATTAAGATCAGATTAAGATATAGCTACTACTTTAACTATTTATATCTACTAACTAGAAAGACTAGATATAGTAAGTAGATTATTTACTATAGATTAATTAATAATATTTATATCTCTCTTATATATCTCTACTATTATATACGAAAATGTTACAATTTAATTAAGAAGTCGATTTCTTTGTTAATTCTTTATATGATTTTCTAAAAATAGGCTTATCTAATATAAAATAGGCTTATCTAATATAAAAAAGTCTATCTTTTATTCTATATTTATTTCATAGTCACACCTGCCTAAATAGGCAAGTTATCAAGAAAGAAGGAGAAGAATTATGTACATTAGCTTTAGTGTGGCTAACAGCCAGGTCAGGTCAGGTTAATTTAGAAATCATATACCTGACCGCCAGGTTATGATGAGGTTAAGGAAATTTTTATATCTGATTATAGTATAGCTAAAAACTAGATAGTTAACTATCTTAACTATTTTTAATACTAACATCTATCTATTATATCTCTTTTAGTCTTAGTATAGTTAAGATAAATCTAGATTGAGTAATTATTAATCTAGCTATCTTAACTATTATTAAAAATTATGTAAAAATAAGCTTTTAAATTAAATAAAATAAAAGTATCTTAGACAAGTAATAGTACTCTTTATATTTATATCTCTAAATAATAATAAAAAAATCCTAGTAGTATTAATAAGATTTAGCTTTTTCTAAGCTAATTACTATTATAATAGAGAATAGTAGAAAATATATATAATTATAGCTTAGTTTATACTATATATATTAATTATATCATATTATTCTATTAAAACTATATATTTACTACAAATTAGACTATAAAAAATAATCATATAGTCCTTATTTTACTTCTTTTTTTTTTATATTTAGTTTAGATAGTCTATTATATTCTTTTTTTCTATTCTAAAAAACTAAATTATATAATTATAGATTAAACTTATAAGAAAAATCTATATTATACTATCTACTTAGTCTTTTTTATCTAGAAATTATCTAATTAAATATTAAGTATTATATTTCTTATAATAGATTTTATAAAAGTCTTTTTTAAAACTTTATTATATAGATATCTTCTATATTCTAGTCTACTATATTATTTAAGCTCTATTTAGAGAATAAAGTTTTTCTATATTTCTAGATTCTAGATATAATTTTCTATTCATAAGATAACTAGATCTTAAAGATATAGTAGATATCTTTAATAGTATATAAGAATATAATAGATTATATTTATATAAAAGTATTTCTATAATTAAAGTAATACTATTTTTATACAGTTTTTCTACTTTTATCTTTGTATATCTACTATATATAGAGTATTCTTAAAATTATAAGTTAACTATATTTATTTAGTTTATTTTTGAAAAATACTATTAAATTCTTTTCTTCTATTTCTTAGATCTTTATAAATTATAATAATTCTTAAGTTAAGATAACTTTTTTAAGTTAAATCTTTTCTTTTTTTTAAAAATCTTAAGATTATTTATATTATATAAAATTAAAAGATTATTTTTTATTAAACTTTTTAAGAAATATTTTCTATCTTATAGAATTAATAATAAAAGATAATCTTTTCTAGACTTTTTAAATAAGCTTAAAAATTATTATTTCTCTTTAATTAAAAGAAGTTATTAGAAAATATAGAATAACTTTTAATAAGATATATTATTCTCTAATAGAATTTTTTATATCTATTAATAAGTATATCTTTATATTTTATAATATCTAAGATATAAAAACTTAGAAACTAGTTCTATAAACTATTATTTTTATAAAAAAAAAGAAGATATTATCGAATATATCTAAATATATAATTATATAGATACTAAGTAAAGAATTATTATAAATATTTTCTTATTATTCTTAGATAAATTTTTCTAATTATTATTATTTCTAGATCTTTATAGTTTATAATGAATGAAGTCCTATATTTTATAGTTATTTATTATCTACTATTTTAAATAGTTAGATATATCTAATTTAAACAAATAATTAGTTTTACAACTTTATACTTCTACTAAAAGTTAAATTTCTTAATTAAGTACAGATTGAAAAAATATTTTTTAGAATAATCTAAAGATATATATATAATTATTATTAACATTCTTGGATACTAAATATATATTAATTATAGTAAACTACTAGATTAGTTCTAGCTAGAAAGTATTTCTTATCTTAACTGGATATTTTCTAATAAAAGATATAAATTACTATAAAGTTCTGCTAAGCTTCTTACTACTATCTAGATTCTAAACTAGTAAGAATATAGTTATAATTATTCTATTAATCTTATATAAATATAATCTTTTTTATAGTTTATTATATATAATAACAAATAATACTAGTAATAATAGTTTAATATTTAGTATAATATTATCTAAGGTCTAAACTTAGCTTATTAAAAGTATTTAGCTTTATAATACTTTAATTAAGTCTAATCTTTTAAAGATTATTTAATTCTAGTACTATATTCTCTATTTTACTTATATAATTTAGTTCATAGTTAATACTCTTTTATAGAAACTTTAGATTGAAATTTTTTATAATACTATTAAATATATAAAGAAGAATAATAGAAGAAATCTTAACATCTTTTTCTAATATTATAAGAATTCTGAAAAAGATATATTCTAGAAACTATTTATAAAAGACTAATAAAGATAATTCTATGAAGCTATTTACAAAAGATTAATATAAACAATCTCTAGACTATTCTATTAACTATAATAATTTTTAAATAAAGATTTTGTAAGTCATAATTTATAAATTTAAGTTCATAATACTATAAGAGATTTAGCTTATTTAATAACTTAAATTTAGCTTAGTCTATTATCTTCTTATTAACTATAAAACTTACTAAAACCTATTCTATCTTATAAATTACTAGATATTTAATTTTTATTAATTAATCTAAAGCTTTATTTAGTACTATAATTATAATAATATTGATTATTTTTAGTCTACTATAATAAAATAGAAATAGATAGAGTATCTTCTTAAGTTTCTATATATTTTTTCTTTATATAATCTATCTGTCTAAAAATAGTAAATCTACTATTTATAAGATCTATAATATCTATAATAATCTTTAAATTATCTAGATCATTTACTTAATTAACTAGTATAAAAGTAAATACTTTAGAAGAAGAAGATTCTTAAAATTTTAAGAATATATATTAGAAGCTCTAAAAGTACTATTATTATATCTACTAGATAAAAGACTATATCTATATAATTATAACTATTCTAAATCTAATAATTAAGAAGTTTAAAAAGAATATATAATTCAATAATAATACTAACTAGTATAAGAAGTACTAAACTATCTTTAAGATATTCTACTTCTATGATAGTTAGATTCTAGCTATTAATATATTATTAATAATCTCTAGATCACTATTAAATTTAGATAAAGTCTTTTATAGTATCTCTAGTGTTATATATGAAAATGTTACAATTTAATTAAAAAGTCGACTTCTCAGTTAATTCTTTATAAACTTTTCTAGAAATAGGCTTATCCAATATAGCAAAGCTCTGCCTTTTATTCGATATTAAATTCATAGCCCCACCTGCCTAAATAGACAAGATATAAAGAAAAGAGAGAAATATTATATATATTAACTTTATAGACTTAATTTTTAAAATTTCTAATAAATTTAAAATTCTATAAATAGATTAGATTTTCTACTATAGTTTAATCCTATTTTTAGTCTAAAATATCTATTTCTGATTTTTATAGATTTTTAAATATTTATTTTAGTATTTTCTTATATAAATAGTTTACTCTACTTTTATTCAGCTGACTTAGCAGTCCTACCCCATCAAAATTTCTATACTTTTAGCCCTAGATCATGTGATTTTTATGCCCTATCCACACACAAACCACCCTACAAACAACCATGCCAACCATTCTGCCAACCACCCTGCCAACAGCCCTGCAAACGGCTCTGCGAACAGCCCTGCGAGCGGCCCTGCAAACGGCCCTGCAAACGGCCCTGTAAGTAAGCCTATGAGCAAGCCTACGAGCGAGCCTACGAGCAAGTCTGCCAACGGCCCTACAGCCGAGCGCGCAAGTGCGAGGCAGTCTATAAAACAGCCCTGTCAACAGCCCTGCGAACGGCCCTGCGAACGGCCCTGCGAACGGCCCTGTAAGGCTGCCCAGCCCACCCTTTAGCAATCCGAGCGAAGCGAGGATCACCAAGGCTTGTCTCTAAATACTAGAGACTCTTATTTATAGTAGAGATATTTGAAGAATTTAAGATATATTTACATATTAAAAATATATAACTTATTAAAGTTAAATTAAGCTAATACTATTCTAGATACTATAGAATATATTAATATTTTTATTTACTAGAAATCTTATTATAATTAGTTTTCTATTCTCTATTAGATAGCTAGAGATTCTCTCTTAGTTATAACTAATAATATTAATACTAAGTATTTATTTACTAGTTCTTAAGATATCTACTACTATTACTAAAGTTATCTTTATATATTTCAAGTATAACTACTTTAAATATAACTAATTATTCTATTATCAGTAAAAAATACTAGAATATTCTTAATAATTATAATTTAGATTCAATTATCTTTATATTAAAAGAATAAAAGAAGAATAAGATAATTACTATCTTCTATATTGATAACAATAAGAATATAGATAATCTTAAAGATAACTCTAAAGATAGATTATTACTAGAATTAGAAAAGCTAGACTTATCTAAATTCTTAAATAATATATATACTTAGATAAGATAGAGATAGAGATCTAGTTTTTATAATCTTTGTATTAATATAAGTATTATTCTAGATAGTATAGAAAATAGTCTTAACTTATTAGAATATCTCTTTAATATTAGAAACTCTTCTTATACAAAATTCTATAAAAGTCTCTTATAAAGTATAGTATATTTCTTAGATAAAATAGATAAAGTAAATAGAATAGATAAGATAAACTGTAAGATATTATAATAATAAAATTAAAAGTAAATTATATCTTATATATCTCTACTATTATATACGAAAATGTTACAATTTGATAAAAAGTCGATTTCTCAGTCAATTCTTTATATAATTTTCTTAAAATAGGCCTATCTAATTGTAAGGAATAAACAATAGGACTTATTCAAAACAATAGCCGTTCAGCCAGCATTACCCACAGTCGCTAATTCATCCCTTGAATTAGGACTATGGACCTATTGGCCCTACTGATACGCCCACGTGATACTTTTCTTCCCTAAAGGGAAGTTGTAGGGCTCTCAGCCCT